TACCAGCTGCAGTCATAATAATTTTCAGCCCAAAGATGAATTAAAAATATCAAAGACTAATTTTGAATAAGACCTTCACTTATATACTATAATATAATATTTAATACACATCATGTCGTAACAACAAAAAAAACCCCAACCCCCACCAACATTATTATTAACATCTGAGTGTATACCATAAAAAAATAAAATCTATCAAAATCATTTTAATTTCAATGATCATCTGAAATACGATGCAATTCATATAATATAATAATATAGTAACCTGTTTACTCCTATTTCTATTTGGGGCTTTTCCCGTACGTTTTTAAAACGGCTCAAAACAAATTTGAAATGATGTTGATAAGATGAACATTTCTGATTTATAAAGTTGTGGTTGTCATGGAAGCCTCTTCCGTAAATAAATGTGTTCTTTTATGTAATGTTGGCAATGGCCGTAAAGGCCTAAACACTTACTGACCAGCCTATATTTAAAACTGAAATAACCTGCTGAAATTCCGCAACATATGCAAAGACACCCTCTTCTGCACCACTTTACATAGCAATAATATTAAGGGGCAAGAGCAAGGTCCAGTGTGGGTACAAGCACTATTTAAAATCTTAGGAGGAAACTAGACAAGTCGCTGAATAAAAAAAAAAAAAAAGGAATGCTTACTAAATCAGAGAACTAGTAGAATATAGTCTAGTCTGAGCCTGAACCTTGAACACAGACATACAAAACAAGCAAAAAAAATAAATTCAGCTTACATATGTTCCTTTTATAGGCCTGAGACAATGTGTAAGCTGAGCAACTCAATAATGCTACCACCAAAAACCACCTCACATTACTTGCACGTAATTTTTACAAAAGCAGTGTAAGCAGCATCATCTTCTATATTTTTAACCAATACTGAGTTATATTTTTATATTATATAATTTATATGACAGAGCTATATGTCCAGGAAGTGTAAATTGCCACCGAGTGACGCGGTGACAATTACAGAGTCAATTGGAGCTCTTTTGCGTAGGAGAGCAGATCTAGCCTATGTGTGCTTGGTGTTCTGCGCTCGTGAACTTCTGCTTACGCACGCCTCTCTGTCTCTGTGTGTGCGTGTAGGTCTCTCTCTCTCCCTAACCCCGTCCCCCTGATTTATGCTCCCCGATATATATATATATTGGTGTATTTCAGTTTCTGCTTGAAATTGAGTGAAATTTTTGGCCTACTTCGAGAATCGCCTGTGTTGGTTCTACACTGAAGCGTAGGCTAGTAGGGATGGGCATTAGTCGATACCAGAACCCGTACTGGTTAAGAAAAGGCGACTTAATCGATACTTGACATTGGAAGACCCTTAATCAATACTAGTCGATACGGAGGTTTTTTTAAATATGGGAAACAAAGAAAGACCCTTCACTTTTAAAACCGTAAACAGTAAATGAGATAACATGGGATGGATAAAAATACTTTTTGTCTTACATACATTACATAAGTACTATAGTAGGTGTACACTCGCACAGTTGCAGCCATTTTTACTATAGGCCTCTTGTCATTCCTCGGTCAGAAGTCAAATGTCTGAGAATAGTATTCGTCAGTATTCGAATAGGCCTAGTACATTTTGATATACAGCGTTGTGTCCCCTGTTTTCCAACAATTTCCTTAACCAGTACTGGGTATCGATCGATACTGAATTTCTTAGTCGATACCAGTACTCTTGAGTCTTGACTGGCTAATATCGACTAAAGCTCATCCCTATGGGCTAGCTTAAGTCTCATTCAAAACACGCCAAGTTGGTAGCTCTAGATGTTCGTCCAAAGAGATTAAAGAACAAATTGATCTACTTCTAGACATGAGGAGCTCGAAAGGATAGCCAGGAAATAAGACTTCCATTTTACTGTACACAATCTTTCAAATTAGCTTGAATTTATGCAAAATGATAATACCCGATAAAAATAAGTTTAGTTTATAGATAGATAGCTTTGAATACCATCGTGCAGGTTACAAAAAGAATTTGAGTGCAAAACATTCAGAAATTGACCTATACTATTTCCTTTCGAACCCCGGAATGTGTGTAACTACTCGTTAAAACTTATCAACTAATGAGAGGGGGTAAGATAAGAACTTATTCATGTGTTCGTTACACATTATGAATAGAAAGCTTAAGATAGTGTTGTTTTCAGACTTCTCACTGCTTCACTTGGTGCCAATTGACGTTAAATCTACCATAGCTCCTTTATGAAGCTGCAGGGAGCACCTAGCACACCTCTGTGATTGGCCCAAATATAAATGACATATGATATTACTGCCGTCTATTTTTGTCGTCTTCCGGGGCTTCCCTCGTCAGTTGGAGTTAATGGGCTACGTCACTAGGTTTCATCGCCAACTGAGTGGGCCGTGGGCGCGCGCACACTTGTACATGTGAGTGTGTGCGTGTGTGTGCACACGCTTACAAGTGTGTTTGTGTGTGTGTGGGGGGGTGCACAACTTTGAGGAGAAGGTAAATTTATGGAACGAGAATTGCTGTGATTGCTCATAAAAGATAACATATATATAATAAATTAATACATCATGTACCAAAAAACCCAAAAGAAACGCGATGAGATCTAGGCAGTTACTCGTGACGGAAACCCAAGAGAGTCTTGGGGAAAACCTCAGAAGACGACAAAAATAGAGGGTGGAAATACGTCATCTCTATATTTCGGCTAATCACAGAGGTGATCTATTGTCTCTCTTGGGGATAATTTTGTACGCTAGCTTTACCCTGAAAAATATTTCATGCTAACATTTTATTAGAATTTTATAGATCTAGGCCTCTGAAAATTTGTTTTATAATGGCATCCAGTCATTATATTGACACCCATCCATAGCAGAATAAAACAGATTGAAAATGAGGCCATTGGAATTTAAAAAACACGTCAGTAAAAATACAAATCAGTACCTGGGTAGATCTAAGTAAAAAATCCTAGCCTTCTGCGACTTTTTTCAGTTTTTATAGATCTAGATCTCTATCTTTAAATATAAAAAATCATACGGCACATGCTGACAATAAAATCTGTCAATTGCAACTTTTAAGTTAAAGAAAATCCTGCATTAATAATTTTAAAGGCTTGCCTAGTGACTCTCTCAAGTTGCAGCTGAATGGGTCGTATGTCCTGTAGCAGAAAGTGGTTAAGCAGGGCAGCATGTAGGGTAGGTCGTGAGCCTACCACATCGATGAACAACTAGCTAGAAATAAATACACTGTGGATCATGAGGATTTCTCGGCCGGAACGAAACTGTCCGAAAGTTTCATCATAAGGAACTGAGTGATAGATCTTATCTAGATCTAGATTAGATCTAGAATCTAGACATAGGCTAGCAAACTAAAACTAAAAAGGCCGGTAAATTTTTACTTTCACTCCCGCACACAGATGCACTGTTTCAGGGGTCAAACTGCTGTACTGTTTGCTGCAGATCACACATAAAGCCACTAAAACTGTCGCAAATCAATTATTTTCAAGACAATTTCAAATCTAACTGTAAAATATCAAATTATGGGTGTAAAAACAGGGGGGCATGCCCCCCTGTAACCTCCCAGATTTTCTTTTACCCCAGTGGGGCAGGCCCCCCTGGAACCCCCCGATTGGTCCAAAGCATGTCTATCTCGGTTAAAAACAATCAAATATTTCAAAAACTATTAATTTGCGACGGAAATGAAGTTGATATTCGTGTTCAGCGCATCAATATTTAGTAGAAAATAGACAACTGGTAGCTGAGTGTGAGACGGGAGGGAAAGTAAAAAAATACCAAAAGGCCACCTCTATTCTCACCCGGAGTGAGAATAGTGCAGGCGAGTCTTGTGGCTATTCTCACCCGGTGCGCGTTCACCAAATTTTGCGTTCACCCTAAACCACAGAATTCTACACTGTGATAACAGAAAAATTGTAGAATTCTGTGCCGTGAACAAACGTACCATTACAATTGTAGCCTACTAAAAGCGTACAACTTTGTCTGTGGGCAGTGGAGAGAGAGAGAGAAAGAGAGAGAGGAGTAGCGCGAGAATTTCCGGGCAAAACAAAATGGCGACCCGCGTAGTTCGGCTCGATTCGAAAAGTTAAATAGCCGTAGCATCTTTGTAGACAACCAAATTTATTTACTTTTGTGTTTTAACATCATTTTTAAACTTTGTTTTGGCCAATTTGATCGTCCACACCGATAGACAGTATTCAGAAAGAGACAGAGAGAGAGAGAAGAGGGGAGGAGTTGATCTTGCGAGAACTTCCGGGCGGGTGAGAATATCCACTTTCAACTAAAAATAGCAAAATTAAAATGAACAGCGAGTAACAATATGTTGTAGGCTCTTGCAGATTCTAGATTTCTAGATCTTAATCTAGATCTAGATTCTAGATTAGATCTATCTACACTTCACACGTCAGTCAGACAGCAGTTGTGTGAAGAGTTGCTAGATATCTAGATCTAGATCTAGATCTAGATCTAGATCTAGATCTAGATTCTATATTTTGCGCTGACACTTTTTAAACACACATGTGGAAAATCAACAAATAGAATGGAACATCACAGCAATAGACTGCCTAGCTCAAGAAGTTCCAGACAGCAGGCTCGGTGCATTGTTAAAAAAACCCCGAAATAAAACTTCTTTCTAGATCTAGATCTAGAATCTAGATCTAGATCTAGCAAGAAGAGAGCGAGACAATGAACGAAGAGGAGTTTCTCTAAGTCGAACCAAGACCTCAGCTAGATCTAGATCCTAGATCTAGCACTCACAAGACTAGAGACTAGAGACTAGATCTAGATCTAGATCTAGAGATCAAGAGTCTAGATCAAGCACTAGATCTAGGCCTAGAATCTAGAAGTCTAGCAGCACAACACAACTTTTTTACTGTACACTCTACACACCACGCGCGAACGAAAGTGTACACGCACCCTCACTCGATACCAAAGTTACACATATAAAATCATATCCAGCATGCACCCAAGGTTATACTGTGTGAAACTCTACACTCGCCACGTCCTCTCTGCCACTCACCTCCCTAGACATTTGCTCATATGGGTCGGGTGCTGACGGTGACTGTGTGGCAGCTGCTACACAACGATCGAAGTTTCCGGGTGCAGCCATTTTGTTTTGGACATGCCCCCTTCTCTCAGCGCACAGCGCCGCCTAGGCCTGGATCGGGGTGGTTCAGTCCAACACCCGCGAAATCCAAGCAGGCACGCTCTGTGTTCCCATGCCCTAGCCTACATGTAAATGTAAATTCAACTAACCATCGATCGCACGCGCACTTCTGTTCGCTGTGTAGGCTGTTAAGCTCCCACGAAGTTTTACCGTTTTAATAGATAGCCTATGCCTACTGATGTCTATTACTTAAAGTAGGGTTTTCCCTTCTGGCTCTTCCACACAAAGCGTTTAAAATCACCTTTTTTCTTTTCTTTTTTCGTTCGTTTTAATAAAAGATAAGGGTGCATAAAACTGAGTAATAAAGCAGAATGAGAAACGTTCCATCACCACAAAATGTAGATGTGAATGAAAACATAAAATAGAGGAGACATTGCGTTACCGGCATTAACCGTTGAGGAAAATGTTCGTAGATCAAGAAACGAGTGTCCGTTTCTTCCGCAGAATGGCCATGTT